TTTTGTTTTATCAAGGTAGTAAAATATTAAGTTTCCTGAAGATATTGAACATATTAAGCTACAAATAAAATTTAGCGATATATTTTTGAGGGTAATATAAAATTATATCATTTGTTATTTTCTTATTTTAATACATTAGAATACGTGTAAAAGAGAAGTACCATCAAGTGTAAAAATTTCGCTCATGAATATAGCTTTAAACTGTTTTTCTTGTATAGGGAATGCTTGTAATGTTCTTTTAAATGCAGGTGAGAAAAAATATTGCTGTAATTATTAGAAAACAAGGCATATAACAACTCAACAACAACTAACAACTCAACATTAATTTCATCGATATGATATTTTACATGATTTTTTTTATTTAACAAACATAAAATTGTATTACTTTTATCGGAAAAAATATTTGTAGCATCTGTAGGGAGTTTATGAACTTCCTTGAATAGATACATGTACACTGAGGGTTTATATTTCCCATAAATTGCTTATTATCTTTTTTTTCTAGTCTTATGCAGTGATTAAGTTTCACACATAAAACATCGATCGGTTTATTGGGTATTAAAGCTCAATCTGTGAATTTTACACTTGTCGATATAAATTATTTTTACATTGCTACTTATTTGTGATTATAAAATAGGAAAAAATGTCGCATAAGCCTTTTAGTGTTTAGGTTTCCTACTACATATGATTGAATATGCTTCATGCACTGAGAAAAAATGTGATCAAAACTACCAAAATATGGTAAAATTTATAGTGTTACTGGCTCTTTGGGAACAACAAGAACCTGGGTAATATTTATCGAAACGCTTTGGTAATTATTTTTGTGAAATTAAGAATAAAATAAATTTATAGTATATGATAAACATTAGTAAATACTTTGAAATTTGATAAATATGGTAAAATTTGGTAATTTTATCAAGATACATGATTTTATCATACCATAAAAACTATTTATTGGGTAAAAAAAAACAGAACGGTAAAATAGTGATGCAATTTTAGCAGAAGTTTTTTCTTCCTTTGAGCAACATTTATCTCTCCGTATTTCTTTTTGATTTTCGATTTTTTTCTCCGAATTTTTACTTTTTATGTAACTTTATCATTCATTGGATTAAAATTGCTTACGTCATGCATATCATTACATTATGATTTCGATATTCGATTACATTATATTCGATTTGATTTCTGCTCTAAATATTATTTAAAAAAAGCATTTTTTCCGATAAGTTTAAGAAATCAAACTAATTTTAATATAAAATATTTCTTAAATGATTAAAACTTTTCAACATTGAATTGTGTTTGTTTGCGATAAAAGAATGCATAAAATATTTGCTAAACCTGCTCCTACTTGAAACTCAGTTGAGAGCGGGAGCGTGTTGCTTTTTGCATTGTAAAAAATCACTAGGGAAATCGTATTTTGCATAATTTTTTTTTCTTAAATAAATTGAATGCAGTGGAATAGCGGCTAAAAAATAAAGAACTCAACTCAAAATTCAATTTTATGTTTTAAATTTCTTGAAATTCTTTTATTTTGGTTGTGTTATATTGAAGGCCCTTAGCACTTTAAAAAGTTAGAACAAAATTTAAAAAAAAAATTCTCTTCTTCTGTATACAGAATGTTTCTAAAAAAGCCTATGAAACTAAACAAAGGATATTTTGTTAAACATTAGCATATTAAAGGCAAATATTATCACAACAATATAATAAAATATAATATTTTTTAATTTTAAGAGTAACTTTGTTAAAAACAGAAAGTTTTAACAGACTCTAAGTTTATATTAAAATACTGAGCGACTTATAATAGGTTGAGGTCAATGTGCATAAGTTTTTTTCAATGAGTTAATAAAAAGTTAGTATAATTATTTAATAACCCTTCATTCATCTATATATATATTTCTCTTACACGGCACCAAAAAAAAAAAAGCCTCATTACAACTCCCCGAATGGAAACGTTAGAAAATCGTCCAATGATTGCTGCTAAAAATGTCACATGGCAAATCTAGATGAGGTGGCTCAACATATAGCGCTTNTATAAAGCTAAAATAGCTTCAATCTTCTATCTATATTATATAAAACGCTAATACGTACGTATGTATGTATGTATCAATTAAACCGATGATATTTCTTTTCTCTCGCTGGCAACAGTTTTCATTTTTAATTGGGCGCGATACTTTTCTACTGGGAGCTGCCTAAACGTCTAAAAAACGTCTAAGTGTTTGTATTGAATGCATTGAGTCTATAAATATATTTCTCTTACACGGCTACAAAAAAAAGCCTCATTACATCCCCGAATGGCAACGCTAGAAAATCGACCAATGACTGTCGCTAAAAATATCACATGCCAAATCATGCTGAGGTGGCTCAACATATAGTGCTTTTAAAAGCTGAAACTGAAATAACCAGAGAGAGCATCAGCATGTTGTTCAATTCAGCTGCTGGAATCTCATACTATTAAGCTAGACAGAAGTGAGTAATCTTTGTCGATAGATCTCTATTTTAGTATTTTGTCGAAAGCGCTTTTTTTCACGAATTTATATAGACTAAACCAGTTTTTAGTCATGGACAACTTAATGTTGGCCTCTCTAGGGTTAGATCATTTGACAGCCTAACAATGATAGCTCCAAGTCCAGAAATTTATAATTGTGTGTTTAAGGAAGTTCTTAATCTTTAATAGTAATTATTTTTTTGCTATTATTTTGTTGCTAAGCCCTTAATCTTTCTCAGTATTTGTTCGCATTTAGTATTTATTGCAAATTAATGTTTAGTTTCTGCAAGTTTTTCTTTTGTATGTTAAACTTCTGAGACTTATACTTACGTTTTTAACAAAGTTGTGAATCGTTCATGGTTATTATTTTTTAAAAACATAATTTAATAATAACGTTTTTTTATGCAGGTTTTTCTATTGCAATTCACTTATTTCAATTTTTAATAGACTTAATTATAGCCAAAATTTTAACATTTTAGAAGCGATATCAGTTTTAGAAATTTTATCTTAAGATTTTATGCTATAGCACATTTCTAATAGGTTTAACGAATTACATGTCATTTATTTAAATTCAAATTTATTTTAATGATTTAGTATTTACTAAAAAGATGTATTTTTTTAAAAAAATAAGTTGTTATATGGATTTGAATGATTGTTTTGAATTCTTAGAATTTTGTGCATTTGCAATGCACCTAAGTTAGTAGCGAGCGAAACGAGCTTGGTTTGCGAAGCAAACCATATAAGATTGCGTAGCAATTTTCGGGGGTTGGAGAGCGTCAGCGAGCAGGGGGCGCAGCCCACTAGTATATTATAATCGAGCTCGAGTTAAGAGGGTAACTCATGAATTCAGCAACGAAAATTTTTTAATATAAAACCAATAATTGAGTTTAGATTTCCTAAAATAATTGAAGTCCTAGAAATATGTCAATCAGGTACATGATTTGAGGTTATTATTTTTTAATTTTACGTTTTTTCACAAGCATTATTTTTTTTTAAAGAAAAAGAGCATAAAAATCACTTTTTTACTATCTTTAAATCGAATATTTTAAAATTCACAATTGTATTCATGGAAAACAGGATGTTCTAATTAATAAACGCTAATGAAATCTTATAAATGAATATATAGGAAAATGAGCGTGTAGAAAAAAATTAAATCTGTTTAATTACTAGTTGGAACTTGAAGGGTTTTCTAATAATTGCTTTTTAACTCCATTCTGATTAAACTTTCTCAAAAAGGCCGGGATAGCCTGGTCGGTAGGGCGCTGGGCCCATATCCAAGTGGTCGTGAGTTTGATCCTCGCCGGCCGAAGACTCACCGTGTAGTAAATGGTGACTGATGCACGTTAAATCTGTCGAGTCTCAAAGTCCACCATGTTCCCACAACAACTCAATACCTCTGGGGGTACTGATCCAGGAGTTTCCTTGTCTTTTGGATTGGTTCAAAATTACAAGGCTACGGAGTTGAACGTAAGTCGTCGTAAACCCATGAAATTGGGTCGGCTGTTCAACGACGGTTATAAAATAAAATAAAACTTTCTCAAACATCAAAAATTTATTTGAGAAGCGATCAGGTTTCGATTCCTTATCAATACTCCTTTGATCCACCTCCACAATAGTAATTTGTTAAATTTTCATAGTACTTTAATTAAAAATTTCCATATTATATCTTATCTAGCTAAGTAAACATTGCACCTACATTGCGTCCCAAAAAGTAAGTTAGAATTCCAATGTAGAAAACTGCAGAGGTGTTGAGAGATGCAAAATAGTGTAAAATTGTTTAATGATTCAGTCTTCAATAGTAAATTGGTATGAGTTTTATCACAAGAATAGTAAATATTTAAAAATTTAACTTTGAATCACTCTTATTTTTCTGTTATATCTTTGCTCAATAATACATTAGTTTGTGGTACAATACACACATGGCAACACGTCCGTCTCTCTTTCTGTTTCTTTTCTTTTCACATAATAACCATAACAGTTTCGCAATGCTTATGAGACATTTAGGAAATTTATGTATTCCAGAGCAAGCAATGCACGTGTCGCAATTGTATGATCCTGCTTGCTCCGGAAAAGTACATGAAATGTTTCAGTTGTGACTGGTCGAAATATTTCTATTGATTTATATTGATTATTGATAAATATTTCTTCTTTGAAACTTTACAAATCAACACTAAGAAAAACAATTGCTTGAACAGCGTATTATAATTACAAAAGAAACATCTGTAACACCTTTCTGAAATCATTTGCGCTGTGTAGGTACTGGTGGGATTATTTCTCTATCTTTATATTTAAAGGCAAAGTTTTTGTTCATGTTTAAAAAAAATAATAATGAAAATTAAAAACAAATGTGCAAATATTTTTGGTTATAGTCGGTAATAAAAATAAAAGCTTTATATATTTCGTTTCGCTAGTATGTTTAGTCTATATTTATAATTTATTTCTACTAAGAATTTCTATGTTATCAGAACTTTTAAAATCATAAGTTCTTATGGTAATTAAAGCAAATTTTTACGATGCTTACTTCAACTGTTTCCGGTTTGAAGAAGACAACGACTGGCTTTATTCCAATCCACATGCGCCACAGCTTTTCTTTATAGAACAAAATGGTGGTGCCACATAACACTTGAAATGTCACTATAAAATATCATACAGACATGTTGTGATTCATATACATTTAGATACACATTGAAATTTGAAACTGAATCAATCAAAACATCAGGAAGCTGATAACAAGACATATTTTTTCTATCTACATTTATACAAATATCTAATGAATCAAATATTTAAAATGCGCAATCATCAAAATAAGAGTAATTTAATGAAACAGTAATAAAATGTTCAAAATAGTTAACTACGACGTGGAAAATTTTTCGATTAGAAAAAGAAAACATAAAAAAATTACTTTTATATACATAAAGATAATTGAAGGATTTGAGTTATGGGAGAATGAAGATAATTGAAGAACTTGAAACATGGGAAGATGAAGATAGTTGAAGGGACAATGAGAGAAAAATGAGAAAAGTTGCTTACGCATGAATTGAAGAAAGATAATGGAGTAAGAGGTAGCTGAAGATATAAACACTATAAACATGTAAACTAAAAACACTAAAAACATGAAAACAAAAAACACTAAGAGCCTGTCACAACCAGGTTTCATGTTCTCCCATCAATCAATTTCTTACAGGTTAGATAATAAAAAGACAAAAAAAGATCGGTATTGAAAAGTTTGTATCTATTACCAAGTAACATTTCGATACCAATAAAATTTTCGCTTTCAAGAACAAAATTATTTAAGTTACGTTTAAAAAGTTAATGTTATTAAACGTAGATTCCTAAAAGATGCACTTTTTTATATTTTCGTTAATTTTTTTGAGGGGAGTTGAAAAAGTTTTGAAACAAGTGAAACATGTAAAATTAACTTCTACTGAATGAATTGCGTCCTAAAGATGAGATTTTTTTTTCAATATTGATTTTTTCGAAAAATTTGATTTTCTTTCTTTTTTTTAAACACTTGCTAGGAGAGTTATCTGCCGGGTTTTTCGAGTCCTAAATCACAAATCTTTTGTTTTCGTTAATTTTTTTTGGAAAATCTTAAACGTTTTGAAACGAGTGCAAATATGTTGTATAAGTTGTATTGTATCGAAAATCATTCGTTTCTTTCATGTCATTTTTTGTTATTTTGGAGACTTGGAAAAGTTGTGAATTGCGGAAAAACATGAAAAATAAGTTTCTACAGGATTAATTGCATGCTAAAACATGTTTTATCTGCCTCCTTTCCCTTTGTTTTGAAAATTTATAGTTTCCGAAATTGATATGTTAATCGATCTAAGTTGGTTAATTCTACCTTTACTTTCAATACATTCACTGGAAGGGATTATGGATATGGAATTCAGCTACGGCAATGTATACATATACCCGTATCTCACACACAATATATGATCTGTCAAACTCAACAGCCCTCATTTCTCTAATTAATTGCATGACTGAGATACGTTTTGGAGGGGTACATTGTTACATAATTTGCAACACATTATGTTTTATTTCAATAAGTTCGAATGTTTCAAAACTAATTGATGTCATATTTTAGATAAATTCTTTCAGGTTCAATTATTGAACATAATGTTTGAATTTGTTTCAAGTGTTATTTTTATCAAAGAGTTCGAAAGCAAGAATTCAGCGATTATACGTGGTAAAGTTTTTGGATGGATAAAATAAAATTCAATTAGCAAAATAGTCAAAAGTTTTGTAAAAATCAAAACACATTTTTTTTTAATAAATTAGTTTTTCAGCACTCATATGTTTCTGAAATTAAATTTTATGATGAAGTTCAGATTAAATATATTACTATAACTTAATATGCACAGTAAAAAAAAGTTTCAATAAATAAAATTTTTATTTATGGAAAGTATTAAATGCTACGATAGCTGCGATATCATCTTCTATTATCTTTTTCCTTTCGTAATTTTTTAATAAAACTGATAATTTAATAACTACTCTAATACTTAAAAAACCTGTATCTTTATTTTCTTTAGAGAGTAATAATTTTTTCCCCTTAGTAATCGGGATAGAAATAAATCTGATTTCAAACGCTGTAAAAAATTCTGGATCATATTATTGTGAAAATTTTGGTATATCAAATTTTATGTTCTGTAAAGACAGATGTAAAAATAAATTTTATGGTAAAAAATTCTGGCACCTTGAGAGACAGTATTTTTTACTGTAATTTAATCTGGAATTTCTTAATGTTTACTTTCAGAAATATATTTTCAGAAATAAAAAAAAATTTGGGCTAAAATAAGGCACAATATTTTAAGACTTAATAAATCCTAAAACAAAAGATTTTAAAATAAAATAACAACTTTTCTATGGTTCTGCACTAAAAAGTAAAAGATTGGTCGTACCTTACAAGAAAAGAGTTGGTATAGTTTCAGTTAATTTTTCAGATATTAAGCTCATTTTATACAAAGTTCATCTTATTTATATATATAAATGAGTGAAAATGTTATTTTTTATTTGTTAAAATCTTTTCTTTGGAATTTCTAATAAACTCTATTTCGAGAAATAGTATTTGCTCTAGGCAAAATAAGTGTTTGTTAAATCGGTTTCAGTTTCCACGAGATAGAAGACTGCAAAATTTATCTATTGAACACATTGATTTGCCAAATTCAAATTATTCCACTACAATAAACTGTGATCAGAATTGGGTAACGAATCCCCCCGATCTAAGGTTCAATGGTTTGTCTACCACCCTCATAAACTCCAATCATCAATTTAATTGTGGTATTAAACTATGTTGTGGGATATATACTTAAATGCAATCATGTTCATATCTAACAAGTAAACTTGTAATTTGATATTGTGGTCATATTTACTTTACAACTATTAAAAGAAAACATTGTTCCAACATGTAGGTAGTTTATAAATAAAATATGTACTATCATAGGGTTATCAATAATAATTTAAGTAGTATAAAATGAAACAAAATAAGAATTAAAAAAACTTCAAAATGTTTAAAGTGAAATCACAATAACGGTCAAATGTCATTTCTTCAGCATTAAAAAATACTTTTGTATGATTTTAAGTTATTTCATTAATTTGGTACTCTTAAAAGTTTTACATTCGGCATTTTTGCAATAAATTTTGTTTAAAAATGTCTCTTACAAAGCAGTCTATCATTATCTAAACATCAAAATCAATATAATATAAATTTATAATATAAATTGAAAATATAAATATAAATTGATTCATTTGTTAGAATTTTGATCAAAATAATCAGTGAAAAATGCTTCCGTTCATTGAGACAAAAGTGAGATCAAAACTACCAGAATATGGTAAAATTTACTGTGTCTCTGGCTCTATAGATACACCAAAAAACTCGGTAACTTTTATGGAAGTGGTAATGGTTTTGGTAAAATTATCAGTAAAATAATGTTTTGTAATATGTAATGAAAATTTGTTATTTTATCATACCTTAGAGCATAGCATAAAAACATTTATTCAGTTAAATTTACTTATCAACTTTTTATACTCTTCTAAATGTGTGGTAAATAGAATGCTGGTCCTGATATAGAAATGAGGGGGCCTAAGACATAGAATTGTCAGGTCTACCCGGTCGTTATTTTAAACAACAGCTACTTGTTGTTTAATGATGAATTTCTTGCAATTATTTATGACCTAAGTAAATTACGCTACATTAGTAAATTTGAGCTTACATGTTTTTTAATCCTAAAATTCTAAACTCTGATAGACAATTCTTAATAAACAAACATAAAAGAAAATTATTTGTAACAATTAGAAGGTCCCAGTACTGAAGAGCTCCTAGGCCAGGGCCTCTTCTGCCTTATGATATATCAAGGACTAGGCAGAAGGTTAAATATGGTTTTGAAAACCAGAAATTATGGTAAACTGTTACCATAGGAACGGAAAAATTACCTAACGAATATAATCAATATCGTATATTTTGGTTTTAATACCCAGAATTTTTTCCTAGAAATGTTAGTACTATACAGTGTGCCTATTTTATCCGAATTTTTTTCTCTGTGTACTCATGTCTTTTAAGATATTTACTTAAAATTATTAAAAAAAACAATAAATAATTATAAAAAATCAGTTCTGATTTATATTGCTTGTTATTATCAATAAACAACTATTTCATTTTTACAAAACAATTATACTTACATATGTTTGACTTGATTTGATTATTCAGTACCACAGTTTTCGCTATTGCTAAATACAGGAACAAATGATTGACATTACATCCTGGGAGCTTCCACAGTAAATTAGTCTTTTTTCTTTGTTCCAGCACCGTTCGGATAAATGGAATCACGACAAGAGACAATATTAGTGTCAGTATCCATAATTTCCAATTGTGTTCCGGTTTCCAATTGGTTGTTTTTGCTATAAAAACATCCGATGCAGCTCCGAAGAAAGAAAACATATTTTAAGAAAATGCGTTTGATTTTAGCACTCAAATCTTTTCGAAAATTTGCTTCAGGAATGAAATTGGTTGACAGCAAATAATTTCATTTTATGAAAGAATTAAAAAAAGAACGAAGAACATTGGTGAAAATAGCAGCAGTGTTACAAGAAGATGTATTTTTTAGGTGAGGGAAGTAGTGAAAGTTTGAAAAGGAGAGCTAAGTCACAACACGTGTTATGAAAGTAGGTTACCGTTCAGATTGCCAGGTTAGATCATTCGCCGGAAGGATTAAACTTTCGTTTGTGCTTTGAGCTGCATTGACCGCAAGTTCAAGGCTATTAGGTTCTTCATAACTGTTTTCAAAATCAAAATGAAGACCGTTCGTTTAGAATAGTAACAGGTGATATCAGAATTCCAATAACAGAATATCGCAAGAAAATGCGTTTTTTCCCATATTGTTTCTTTCTTTTGTTGATTTTCTGCACTCTAATTGTCAAGTGATAACTTAATGTAAGTTGTGTTAACTAATTTAAGAAGAAGAAAAAAGAAGAGAAAAAATTGCGATATTTTATTTTATGTACGAGCTCGCGACAACTGAAATCATCAAGGTGCTAAGTAAAACTACCTCTTTTAATAGGGACATATTTTAGTTAATGTAAGTTGTTATAAAGTCTCTCTCACTTAGTTTGTCCTGTATGGGTTGTTTATTTCTTGTTTCCCAATTGCCACCAATTTTTTGGGTTTACGGCTACTAATATTGAACTCCTTAGCCTTGTAATTTTGAACCCAATCCGGAAGACAAGAGAGCTCCTGAATCAAATATTGGGAGAAATTTGCCTTCGTGGAAGACTTTTTGATGGAAGTAATCTGCATTTGCGTTACATGGATAGGAAAACCACGAAAATCTCCTACGGTTAGGACTCTAGAGGACTCTAACCCATGATCCGTCGACCTCTAAGGTTATTTTACGTCAGCTCTGTGGTCGATGTAAGCTGGATGCGGAATTCGTATCGAGCAGCCATCGTTGGGATTCGATCCCGGTTCACCTCATTGGAAGGAGAAAGCTATATCCTCTGAGCCATCACGGCTCTAGCATTTTTATATAAACATAATTTAAAAATAAATGACCAATTGAAGAGTTATCGAGAATCACTGAGCTGTATGCCCACTACGTGCATCTGCTGCTCATGGTAATACAAGATGATATGTGTAGTCATCAAAATGTTATAAGAAATTCATACTCAATTAAAAGATTCTAAATTATTTTATTGTACTAATTGAGCAGTTTTGTTTCATACATTCACATTTTTAAAGCGAAAAATATTGTACTAGTTTAAAGAATGTTTCTTCTAAAAAAGAGGATTCCAATTGGCGGGTAGGGGGCCGCATCCGGCCCGCGAAGCCTTCTTTCTGGCCTGCGAACTAAAATATATTAGTTGCCATTTTTTTGCTGACAATTTTCGTAAAAAATCTATTTGGGTTTAAAATACTTTTATCGTTAATAAAAACCTAATTTCTTCGTTTCTGTGAAATGTAACATACCAATGATGCAAAGAAATTTATTTTTCAGATTTTGCATCCAAGAAAATATTTATTCAATTACAAAAATAATCGTGCATGTTTCTCTTTTTTATTTCATTTTTTTTTGTATTTTGTGAGTATAATTTAGCATGTAAGTATCAAAAATTTTCTCGAAAAAATTCTCCGATTTAACTTTTTGAAACCACTCATTTTGAGACGAAAATATTTACACACACATTTGTAAATTTTAAATGTAAATATCTATTCTNGAGGGCGATGCTTTTCATTCAAAAAAATTTAGATCACTGCTCGAAGTTCAAAAAAGCGCTGAAGTACTTTCCCACAACTAAGCCTACGTACGGCAGTATGATAAGGTAAGTCATTTTCTCCAATCTCTGCAATAAATTGTCGGAATTGTCGGTGATTCAGCCCAAAAGATCTGATAAAATTAACAGTTGATATGACTGGTTTCAGAACATCAGACATATCAAAACATTTTCCGCACAAAGACTGTTGATGAATGATACAATATAAGACTAATGGTTTTGAACCACCGTCATTTTCTACAGCCTTTGACACAAGAGCGACCACTCCTTTATCTTTCCCACTCATGTTTTTGCCGCCATCAGTTGTAATACATTTCAAGTTTTTCCATCGAAGGTTCTTTTGATTAATGGCCATTTCAACTCCTTTAAAAATATCTGTACCAGTAGTTATGCCATGAATACTATACATATCAAGAAGTTCTTCATGCACTTCATAGCTTTTATCTACTCCTCGAATATAAATCAACACCTGAGCAGTATTTGACACATCCGTTGACTCATCCAAGGCCAAAGAAAACCACTCAACATGTCCATTTTTGTCGAACAGTTGAGAGGATATATTTTCAGGGCACATTTCTTCGGCTACTGCAATTATGCATTCTTTGATCATTTCTCCATCGGTGAATGGTTTTCCACGTTTTGCAATTTCAAGAGCCACACGAAAGCTGTCAGGAGTTGCAGCCTCTTGTTCAGTTTTGAGTTTTGTAAATGAAGATTGCTGCGATTTCAATCCGCGCTTCATAGCTTCAAATTTTTCTGTCCGCAAACTTCCTGTTTATTTTGAGTAATTTTGAAAATTTTTTGCTTCATAATGACGTTTAATGTTATATTCTTTGAGAACGGCTATGCTTTCATTGCAAATCAAACATAGCGCCTTGTTACTGGACTCAATTACGAAATACTGAATGTTCCACTGATCTTTGAATTTTCTGCATTCACTATCAATTTTTCGCTTCTTTTCCATACTACTAAATCACACACAAAAGCAACAATTCAAATCAAAATACTGTTACAAAGATGTCTTAAACTTAAACACGCACAAACACGTTTTAAGAAGGTACGCACTATTTTATTTCACAACAGTGTCATAGGAACAGACTTGTGGTTGCGCCACTAGCCTTCTTATATATTCCAATTACTGCCATCTAGAAGTGAGTGGAAGACATCAGAACTTTCTCGAACCAACGAGATTTTTCTGTACGTGCTATTAGCGCCATCTGTTAGCGATAGAAGGTACTATCTATTTCCGCTTGTGTCCACCAGATGTCGTGTCACGTTACTCCTCATGGCTCGTATTACAGATAATGACAGGAAAATTAATAATATGCAGTGTTGCCGTTTTGCGGACTTTTTTAACGTTTCGTACTTTTTCGGACTTTTTTTTTTCATCAGTGGACTATTTTACGTTTTACCACCGGCAACAATGATAATATGGTTTTGGCCCTCGGAACTTACTGGAGCAATCAGTATGGCCCTAAGGCTGGAAAGTTTGGAGACCCCTGCTCTAACCCATGATCCGTCTACCACTGAGGTTATTTTACGTCGGCACTGTGATTGGTGCAAGCCGGATGCGGAATTCGTATCGACCAGCCACTGCTGGGATTCGATTCCGGTTCACATCATTGGAAGGCGGAAGCTATATCCTCTGAGCCATCACGGCTCTAAAATTTTTAAATGAGCTTAATTTTTTTAAAAAAAATGAGCAATTAAAGAGTTATCGAGAATCACTAAACTATATGTCCACTACGTGCATCAGCTGCTCATGACTAAAACAATATGAAATATTTGAAGAATTTAAAATACGAGTAGTTCGTCAAAATATTATAACAACTTCATATTCAATTAAAAGATTCCAAATTATCTTATTGTACTAACTTAACAGTTTTGTTTCATACAGTTACATTTTTAAAGCCAAAAATATGATACTAGTTTAAAGAACATTTCTTCTAGAAACTATTTATACCCTTATAACATATGTTTTGCGGTGTCCATTTACGAAAATAATTCGGTCAAATTGACCCAATTGCATCGTTACAAATTAAGTCACCTTTTACACATCGTGGGTGACGCAAAGTTTATGGTACTACTTAAAAATGACATTCCTGGAAATGATTTTTGTCTTAAATAAAATATAGGTGTTATTATATGAAATTGTATGAGAATGAAAATATATGTGAAATTAATTTCGGAAAAATAAATTTTATCTTTTTAATTTCAGACAATTTCTCATAAACTAACTACCATTTTAAATGTCATTAATTGCCATTTTTTCAAACAGTAACTTTTTGAGTGCAAAATGTATGGCACCATTTTAAAGAATGTTTCGCGTATAATCTAAATTATTTATATCCTAAATATTGCCGTTTTGCAGTGTGAATTTGTGAAATTAATTAAGTGTTCGTTAAAATCTAAGCCACTTTAGTTCATCGAATGCAAGGTGACCATTCAATTTTTAAAAATAACATTTCACTGAAGTTCGTATGCATTAAAAATATAGATTTATGGTGCGAAACTAGGAAATTATATTTGAAAATATCTTTATTATCGCTATATTTCCAATAAATTTTCAACAATAAGTATTTTTAAATACTATTTCTGGATAAAGATACACTTTAGAAATAAAGCGTTACCATTTTAGAGAATGACACTTATTGAAATTTATGCTGTAAGTGTAAATGTTTTCTAAAGCTAAATTCTTAAAATAATTTTCAAATTTTAAATTTTACCGTTTTCGTTAACTATTTTTGAACTGTATTTTGAAAAATGATACACCTTGAAAGTAAAGTATGTGAAAGTAAAGTTTAAAATCGACCATTTAATTTTTGCCATTTGTTTAACTTTTTACCAATTAGTTTTGACTAGAAACTATTTATATTTTAAAAAGAAATGTTTCACGATTTAGAAATTGTAAAATAGCTTTTCAAGTTGTCCACTTTATGGTTACCATTTATTTAATTTTTTACAAATTTGTTTTGACTGCTATTTTTTTTGGAAAAAATGCACTTTGCGAACAAATGTTAAGGTACGATTAAAAAGAATGACACTCGCAGAAATTATCCATATTTTCTTTTTTTTAAAAAAAGATGTGGTTTATAATCTAAATTTGTTTCTAAATCATTTTTAAATTATCTAATGTATTATTAACATTATTAATTGGCGCAGGGCGATTGTAAACGAAAACTAAAAACACGTAGTGAAGGGCGATTGTAAACGAAAACTAAAAACACATAGCGCAGGGCGATTGTAAACGAATTAAAAATAATAGGAAAGTGAGAGGGGCAAAATATCTGGCCACAAATGGACTGAGAAAGAAAGATATGATAGAAGTCCTATGCTCCAATTCGCAGTGTAACGGAATATGTATGTATTATTAACATTAATTTATTCAACAGATTGTTTTGAATGCTATTTTTTATTAAAAGGTACAATTTGAAATAAAAGTATGTGGTAGCATTCTAAAGAATGACTTTCATAAACATTATGTGTGATCAAAATTCAAATGATTCATTTCACGAATTTGTCAAAATATTTTTTAAGTCACTCAATACATTGCTACTTTTTATTACCTATTTTATCTATTTACTTTGACTTTTTTCTTAAAAATGGATATATTTTAGAAGCAAAGGATGTCAAAGTATTAAATTTTAAAGACTAACATTAATAGAAACTATTTATGTCTAAAAAAAAATAGGTCCAGGAAGCAAATTTCTTTCAATGTCATTTTATTGTTTCCATTTTAGTCAATTTTTCAAATAAAATTTTTTAAAAATCAAATTCCAAACTAAAAGTAAAGTATTTATCAAAATATTAAAAAAGAATGCTTGATAAAATTGTAGATGTTACGAAAATAGATATTTCGCGCTGGAACTTCTTTAGAATAGTTAATAAACTTTTCTGTATTGTTTGTGGCATTTTTACCCTTAAGTTTTGGCTACTAACTCGAAAGTAGTTAATGCTTCGAATGCGATGTGAATGGTATAACATCATTCGAAAGAATGACACTTTTTGAAACAATTTAAATCCTAAAAATATTGGTTTAACTTTGAGACTTTATAAAATTATTTTTTTAAAAGTCCGATGTATTTTTAAAAGTTTTATGATTTCTTTATCAGTTTTTTTATTGCCCATTTTTGGAAATGTTACGTTTCGAAATATATAGTTAATAGCACTATTTCAAAGATTTTTTTAGTGATTTATATATAAATAGCGTATACCTTGAACGCTATATAAATAGCGTTCATGGAGATTTTTTTAACCTAATTAGGATGCGATTATTTTGTCCCTATAATTTAGCGTTCCGCTTTTAGATTTTATGAAATTCAAAACATATGTTATTACGAATGGTATCACCATATTGATACGCATTTATTGATTTTATGTATGAGTAAATTTATTCAGGATTTTACTAGGTTATCAGGATATAAAAATCTAATAAGAATTTTTTTTTCAAAATATTTTTGAATGACATAAATATTCAAAATATTTATTATATATTTTAAATTTATATTCATAGTGAAAAGTGTGTTCTTCGTTGGTTTAATCAGATGATTCTCTTAAGAAAATATCAAAGTAAAAACGAAAGTTTCTTTTTTTTTCCTCCTGAAAAAAAAAAGAACTTACGTGCTTGAAACTTATATTTCTATATGTTGTGATTTTATTTTGAGTTTATGACCTGCTAATATATATTAGCCTTGAAGAGCTTTGCTTTCAAAATTATCACACAAAATGAGCATGGCAATACCTTCATGTGTTACTTAATGACATACGTAATCATTAAATAACTTTACTTAAAGGTAAAAATAAATTATTATTCTTATAAGCTGGGTTGGCACAGTGACCCACACATGAAAATAACGTAAAAAACTGTTTGACCCCTTTCTTTTCTGCCTTTTAAACTAAGCATTTATTTGAAGAGATTCAAGGTTGTTTTGAAATAACTGGGTCATCTTTCTCATGATGAAAGTGATAGTGAATAAAAGGTTATCAGGTAATTTAACAAACTAGCATCGGATATGATTGTTTTCAAGGATAACGGGTCATCAGATAATGTTTCAGTATATTATCCGATGACAGTAAAAATGTTACTAAATAATATTTTTTCTACATTTTGTAGACATAGACTAATATTCAGAAACAAATATTATCCAATTTTTTCTTACTAGACTGATTCCTAGCAACAATATCTTGGCCCTAGTTGGGTTCAAAACTGGCTCAATATGGGTTTTATATGAACATGCACCAAGGGACCAATATTGGGATGTATAGATTTTTTAAATATTGGTCCTATGCGATGTCAATATCGGCCTATATAGGACCAATATAGGGCTCATATTAGTTGAATAATGATTATAAAATATCGGTAAATCTGAAAATTCTATATAGGGCCGATATTGGTTTAAAAATGGCAGTAAAATATCGGGTGAATCAGACAATTCCATATAGGGTCCATATCGGATATATATCGGCTCTTTTGACCCTTATTGAGCCAAGATTCTTGAATATTGGTCTAATGAGGGCACAAGTTATTTTGCTGCTAAGGATGTAATAAGAAGATAGCATATAAGAATACATTAACATACGTAATGTCTTTTAATATGTCTTCTGAAACAGAATTAGAAGGCTTAGTAGAATATAAGAAGAGAGGTGATGTATGATGGAAAAAAAAGCTTCATAGTCCTAATTTAAGCACAGAAAAAGTTGTTCATTTGGATAATGAACATGTAGTACAGTATGCTCTGAAGA